TGCACTGGAGGTCTTCCTGTGGTCACTGTTGAGCAAGTGTTTCTTCTACTCAAGGAAGTTATGAAAGCAGAAACATGAGTTCACTGGTCTGTAATGGAACAAATATCATCATGGCCTGTAAGTGTGTGCACAAACGGTTAGTCACGTGATGCGGATCTTAAAGGACCTAAACTTTGTTTAAGCAGCAGAATTATTTCGTAGCTGTAGCAGCGTTTATGTTAATCATTGGGAATTCCCCTGAAAAACATACAGTGGGGTCCAAAAGTCTGAGACCACTGGTGCAAATGCTTCTATTTTGCGTTCCTTTCTACAACCCCATTTCCAAAAAAGTTGGGACGCTGTGCAGAATGTAAATAAAAATAGAATGCAAATGATATGCAAATCATGTGAACCATATTTTTAAAGGAAAATGCTACAAAGACAACAGATCAAATTTAACTGTTTTTTTTTTAAATATATGCCCATTTTGAATTTGATGTCAACAACACATTCCAAAAAAGTTGGGACGGGGGCCTGTTTACCACTGTGTTTCATCACCTCTTCTTTTACCAACACTCTGTAAGTGTTTGGGAACTGAGGAGACTCTGCTGTAGTTTTGAGGGTCTTTGTTTAATACAGGATTTCAGCTGCTCAACAGTTCGGATGGCAGCATACGTTGCCAAAACATGTACATATCGCTCAGCATTAATGGTGCCCTTCACAGATGTGCACATCGCCGATGCCATGTGCGCTAATGCTCCCCCTACACCATCATGAATGCTGGCTTTTAAACTGTGCACTGATAACAAGCTGAGTGGTCTTTAGCCCAGAGGACACAGAGTCCATGATTTCCAAAAAGAATTTCAAATGTTGATTCGTCGGACCACAGGACACTTTTCCACTTCCCCTCAGTCCATTTTAAATGAGCTTGGGCCCAGAGAAGGTGGCAGCATTTCTGGGTCCTCTTTGTATATGGCTTCTTCCTTGCATTTTAGTTCTAGCTTGCATTTGTGGATGCAGTGATGAACTGTTTTCATAGACAGTGTTTTTCAGAAGTGTTTGAGCCCATGCAGTGATTTCCACTACAGAATCATGTCTGTTTTTAATGCAGTGTCGCCTGACGGCCCAAAGATCACAGCCAGCAAATACTGGTTTTTGGTTTTTGTTTTCATTTACATTTTGCACAGCGTCCCAACTTTTTTGGAAATGGGGTTGTAATTTAATTCCAAGTTTTTCACTACAAACTATATAAGCTTAACAATTTAAGTGAAAAGTAGAATCTTTCAATGTCTACATGGATTTCAGAATTCCTTAGCATTGGATACAGTGTGTCCCCCTCTTGCTTTAATGATGGCGCACACTCAAGCTGACTCCATAAACTTGAGTCGTTTGAACACTTTTCAATGGATGGAACTGGACTGAAAAAACAATCTGACCTTTTTGTACAAAGGCCTTATCATGGTCAATTTCACAAATGTATGAAATTGAATGGTGACCCAAGAATAGTGCAGAATTTTGAATATTTCTTAATTGTATAATGATGTCATAACTTTTCTGTTTTACATTTTCCAAAAATATAAAACTTTTAGACTTTTTGTTGTTTATTTCCAAGTTTGAATGAAAAAATACCAGATTTCCAATGTGGTCTCAGACTTTTGGACTGTGTTTTACTGAAAAGCGTCCAATATTAAAGTATAATATCAAATTTAATCAGCATTATAGTTGTCCAGTCTTTACTTTTTTTGCACGCTACTGCTACTTTAACTCTTCTATTCTACAGAATCTTAAAACCAACCATACATCCATGTCCTCCCAACAAAGACAAGAATCTGCTACTTGACAAAACTGGACATTTTACATGTGGAGTAAAGTTTTATGCAGTCTAGAGTCTAAATTTAATTGGGATTACATGAGAGGCAGAAAATGCAACCAACTTCTAAGACTGAAATTTGGAGGTGTGGAAAAATATCAAAGCAGATTTCTGTGAAAAACTGAAAGCAAGAAGCTGTAATAGGCAAAGTGTGGACACAGTACATACTGAAAAAAATCTGTTTTTTCTGCTGTTTTCTTAATGATCAATAATAAGCAACTTGTACTTGATGGCTGGTTTGATTGTAAACGGTAATTTAACATTTGCACAGCACTTTGTATTACAAATAAAAATGCATTACAAATGGTAAACGCACATATTTGACCAACTAATGATGCAACAAAGCTCTCGTAATGCTCCAGTTTATTGTATTGGCATTCAAGATAAAGGACATTGGAGAATATCTGAGCAAAGTCTGACTCGATACATCTTATACACATGTATATTCTCTATCCTGGATAAGCTTTCCTTCCCCAAAACATAAAACAATAAAAATAATAATAATAAAAAAATAAATAAAAGGAAAATAACCCTTAAGCTGTCCAGTTCTTTCTGTATAATACTTCACGCACTTTATTAACACTTTGTCACTTTGGGAATTTCGAGAATAGGCGGGTCATCACACATGATCGGAATGACGGAATGCTGACAGACAAACCAAGGCACATCATGCAGGGCAGTTCCAGTAAAGAGGACCTTCATACTACAAGATCTGACGTTAGATAGAGCAGCCGATGAGACTCGATCCTATCAAACAGTTTCTCATTACCCAAAGTTAGATGATTCTACCTTTTTAATAAATAAAAAAGATCGAGAGATGTTTAGATTAGGCTGAGATTTCAAATATTTTCAAATATTTAGATATGTGACATATGTATTGTATTCTGGAGGCGCAGAATATTTAGACAACGCTAGGCTACTGTGCTAAAGTGTGTGCATTTTATTCATTTTACTTCATATGCAACCCAAAACAATACTTCTTTATTTCTAAAAATGTACATTTTATTCCTCCATAACACTAATCCAGGTGGATTTGGTCCAAATTTTACAGAATGTTTATGTATCTGCATCGGCAGACATACATGAAAAATATCAGATATCGGATATCGGCATTGGCACACAATTCCCATATCGGTGCATCCCTAAAATATGTCCTTGCATGCAGTTTGAAGACCAATCCTGCTGATTTGAGCTGCATTTGTTGATTTACTTCCGGGCCCATGCTTAGGCTGGTCATTATATTTAATCTAACGATTAATTACCATAGAAATAATTGCAATTAAGTGGCCAAATTGGCTGATTAGCTGTTCATACTTAGTAGCTCTCAATTGACAACAGGCAAAGCCCCAGCTCAAATAAACTCTACTCACCACTGCCCTCTAAAGGTGTTACAGCGCTAAGTAAGAAATTGCGCAAGACCCATGATTTGCCTTAAACACAGTGATGAAAACGCACTCAATTCACATCCTGCTTGTTGTGATGTGAACATTTGATTGTGAAAGCCAACACCTATGGAAAATAATTGTGACAGGCCCACCCGCATTCTTAAAGCTTCTCAGAATAGCAGTGCTGATCTCGGATAAGTTTTCACTTTTGTTTACGATTATCGTACTGACAGGAACAGATCCGAGATGAGCGCTCCTACTCGGAAAAGCTTCATGAATACATAAATCCAGTCTAACTTGTGTACTTAGCCAGCATATAGAGCAAAAGCAGTTCCCCAGACCATCTTAACCCCCGCAAAACTGTAAAATAGACCCCAAAACTCCCTCTACAGTGTTATAAAGGTGTCTTTGATAACTAGGCGGGTCACAATTACTGCATGATCACAGTAGTTTAACCTGATCAATTATTTTTCATAGTAATCATTTTCTATTCACAATCATTTTGATATATTTCCTGAGCCAAACAAATGTAAACTGCAGAAATCGGTTCACTCACATTTTCACAGTGTTGAGGTAAAAATGTAAGCTTTGGTTGACTCTGTACCTGTAGATACTTGTTCTGCTCCCTACAGTGCAGTTTATCGTCTAATTAGCTGCTAAGAAGCACGATCGCTAATCAGCCAGTTCAGCTGCTGAACGCAAGTTTTTCCACTAAAAAACTATATAAGCTTAACAATTTAAGAGAAATAAAATCTTTCAATAATTCTCCATAAGCTTGAGCCGTCTGAACATGTTTCAATGGAAGGAAATAGACAGAAAAAAAAGAATCTGACCTTTTTGTACAAAGGCCTTAACATGGTCAACTTCACAAATGTTTGAAATTGAACAGTGACCTAAGAATAGTGCAGAATTTTGCACAACTTTTCTGTTCTACATTTTCCAAAAATATAAAACTTTTAGACTTTTTGTTGTTTATTTCCAGGTTTGAATGAAAAAAATACCAGATTTCCAATGTGGTCTCAGACTTTTGGACTGTGTTTTACTGAAAAGCGTCCAACATTAAGTATAATATCAAATTTATGAGTATTATAGTTGTCCAGTCTTTACTTTTTTTGCACGCTACTGCTACTCTAACTCTTCTATTCTACAGAATCTTAAAACCAACCAGTTACACCCGTGTCCTCCCATCAAAGACAAGAGAGAGTCTAAAATTTAGAGTCTAAATTCTGTAGACTTGTAGAGCAGCTAAACTGGCTGATCAGCGATTATGCTTCTTACGTCTTTACTGCATACAAGAAAATTAAATTGTTAACCACCAATTTTTATGAGAATTGTCATCTAAAATTTCGTGATCATGACAGGCTTATGCATAACTAAGGTGAGTGGCCCACACTTTTAGTTGCTAGCTCCTTGCTAAAGCACTGAGAAGATTCACTTCAAAGGATTTGCACAAATGGAAGTGAATTAAATGCATTCGATTGAAACCAACTGTGTTAATGGTTAAATCACTTAAAGGGCCCACATCATGGAAAACTATTATGAGTTAAATGTAGTACAAAAACATACTTGTTCACTCCTCAGTCCGTACAGTCCATGTATAGAAATTTGGCTGCAAAAATAGCCTATTTTACAGGGTAATCTAGCATAACAGAGATCAGGCACAGCCTGTTTAACCTTAAGGCATAAAGAGAGGTTGGAAAAATGGTAGAATTTTGGTAAATAAACCCAAACAAAATGTCAGAAGTGGACACTAAAGAGGTAAAAGACTATTCCAACAGGCCAGCCAGAGCCTAAATCCAAAAATATGTCACAAATGGACATCAGAGGGGGAAAAAATTGGCCCTTCAAAGGGAAAAACTATTCCAAGAAGCCAACTAGAGCCGATTTTGCATCATCATGCTCATATCAAGCCCTTTTCACCCTACTGTGTGAACATTTCATGATAAATGGACGAATGGAATTGATCCAAAAATACCTAGATTTAATTCACTTTACATTTTAGAGGTTTCCTTCTAAAGTTAGAGTGTAAATGGAGTGCAAAAACACCATCCACACATTTCTCCATCTCCTCATTTCGTGTTACAGGATCCATTTCCTTCCTCTTGAGAAGAACTACGCAACTCGACACTTCTGAGAAGAGTTATGCCAAGCATGAAGCTACCGCCATCAAACTGCACTCGCTCTTACCGAGACGAACGGAGATGAAGATCGCAATAAGTTCATCTGACTTTGGGTAACAATCTCATCGAGAGAATGAAACTAACTTCAGGTATCTTAGATTTATCTGCGCTTATTAGATTTAACACTTCAGCTCATCGACTGCTGGGAAAGCATCGCGCTCGTGCTGATCGGTATCGGCAAGCATCGACACATTCCAGGTACAAAAAGGCCTTCGGCAACTTTCTCTCCACCTAGATCAAATGTCACAGCATGCTTCTGACACTTCTGCACAACAATGAGATGAATTTATTTGATATGAAAGGCAGAAACAGGTTTGTCAGCATGATCCTGTAGGTAAATTCTGTCCATGGGCGCTCTTGAAACACAAGCAGCCTCGTGAAGGAAGCTTGCCGAAAACCCAGTGTTAGTTGATATGTCGAGATATAAGATGGGGTTAGTTTCTCCAACCAGATTCGATTTCCGATTGCATCTGTTTCTTCAAGAGAACTGAGAACTCAAATGGTTCATCTGGGTCAGGGTCACTGACCTACAAATTAGAAGATCAAAAGATTAGATTAGAAATTTTCCACTTAATATCAGATGAAACGCGCCCAATTCCAGGAAATGAAGGCCACAGTGCATAAATAGCCTTCTAAACCAACAAAACAACCCGACAGATGGGGGGGGTAGAGCTAATGCACAGTTGAGATATAGAATAAAAAAAAAGAATCAATAAATACTCTACTACAATGCTTACATGTAATATTACTCACATGCACTGCCTCAAAGTGGCTAGTGTATTGGTGTTCTTGGCTCCAGTCATTTAACATACATTCCCATAAGGATTAGTAAGACATACAAGTCATTGTTCCTGAGCTCCACAATAATTTCTTAGGCATGGTTCCAGTTTGTTTAACTGAAAGGCATTCAGTGCATCACACCTGCTTCAATGCAAAATGGCAATGATAAGCTAACGATACTAATAAGCCCCTCCACCTTCGTATGTGAATCGCTGGTGCACCTCAAAATACATCAAATTCTCTACAACTCTGGTCTGGTCCACAGGCAGCGAGCAGTGTTGTGAACCCTGTGATCAACACGTTTTACCGAGTAGCAACAAGTTTGAAAGGTTATTAGGGGAACTCAGAAGAGCAGCTGTCTAACTGCATTCCAAGGCTTCCAATGTGTTTCCATTCAAAACACCCAAAACTCCCCATCTGCTCTCAAGGGGAGGTGAAAATTAACACTGGTGAAAAATTTCAAACGAGGGAACACACACCTCGTCCTGCCCAAGTTTCAGAGAAGATTCACAGAATGACTTGCACTGCGTTCAGGAATCAAGCCACACATCTACTGACCAAGACCTAAAACCAAAAGTTGTGCTTCATAAATCACTTCCTTAAAGGTGAGTCTCGCAAACACTGAATTCAAACCACTTAAAAGGGGAATTCCACTGATTTTCTTTCCACAAATGACTTCATAAGTCATTCAGAGTGGTTTGATGCGAAAGTCTAAAGAAGCTCACAGAGGCTGGATTGTGAACAGTAGTGGTGATGGGAACCAGATGTCTGGAGAGGTTAATGCTCCCACAGACACCTCAAAGAAAAGGATTACGAATGTTTTTAAGAAGTAGTTACAAATGTGATGCCTTTTTTCTGAAACATTGTTGTTTTATGGTACTTAAAAGGTTTTGGTCTACAGTCCCCTTTTCAGATTGAGCTCAGAAGACACCTGTAGGTTCACTGATGGTTCTTGGATACTGAGTTAAATGCTCGCATTGAAAACATCACAAGTTTCTCATCAAACCACTCTGAATGCCTTTGTTTACACCTCAACCACTCAGTTACACTGAGTGTGTTTACACGTACTCAATAATCTGATAACTGCAGGAAATCAGATTGTCAGTAATCTGATCAACATGTTTACATGCACTTGAGTAATCAGATAATGGGGAAACTCCGGGTCTATATGAATCAGACAGTAATCAGATTTCTACTTTGCAACCAGCCAAAAAAAACTTGTAAAACTTGAACTTCATGCTGTAGCTTTTAAAGCGCCACTTTATCTGAAAAATGGATTTAATTATTTGAGTATTTGGTTTCAGCACTGCTCCAAAAATATTTTGCTGCGTCTCGTGGCGATGCTGCTCGCTTATTTCCGGTACAGAAGTCTGTTCTGCACATGCTCAGACTGAGAAGTCTGAAAGAAATCAGAGTAAGAGTTCACATGCACTGAGAAATCTGATTACTGAGCTAAAATCCAGCCTCTTTATTGGAGTTCCTAATTGGATTTCTAGATTGGAGTGCGGTGGTTACATGACCATTGTAATAATCTGATAACTGCAGAAATCCGATTATGGTTGGATTATTGGGTGCATGTAAACGCATTCACTGAAATTTTGAAAAACTGGTGAAATTCCCCTTCATGGTATTCAGTATTCAATAGTATGATAATGGAACTGATTTAGGGGTAAAAATATAATGTGTCTGAACTCTTCGAAAGGAATAAGGGGTAAAAATGATATGAAATATAGAAAAAAAGAGGGTCCTTAGGGATAAAATTAAATTAATCTATTTACATTACAATAAAAATATCAATAGATGATGCACAAATGCAAAAAGCTGAAAACTTTCCAGTGTTCTAGTGTTATCATATTTCTTAAGTTAAAAAAGGAAAAAAAAAAAAGAACACATATAAAAAGCTTAAAAATTCCTTCCCCCATTTGTCTGCTAAGGTCACTTTCAGAGAGACAACTTAAGAATTCGTGTCTTTCCTTTCATGTTTTGGTCCAAAAGCAGTGTATAGGTTTTTTGCATATGCATCCTGCGTTATTGCTCAGTGTCTACGTGTCTCAGACTGCAGGCAGGTCAGAGAGAGGGAGACAGGTCTCTAGTCGAGTGACTAACCACCCGTCTGCCAAGGCTGGTGATTTGTGTCGACTAGCGTTTCCTCTCCCTCGTTTTATTTATTTAAGTTCTCTCTGTTGTTCCACAGCTCTGAGCCATGAGCAAGGCTTAGCCGGCCCTCACCGTCCTCTTTCCTTGCTCCGTGGAGAGTCTGATCACTCCTTCCCTCTCTCATTCGCCTCATTCCTTCCTTAACTCCAGGCTTCAGAACAGCAGAAGCAGTGCTTGGGCCCCTAGAATTGCTGCGAGGCAGTGTTCGGCAGCATGGCGGCCAGGATGTCGATCAGGTTATCCAGGCCCCACAGGTAGCCGTCCTCACGGTTACCCTCTTTCCAGGGGGTGCGGTGGTCCAGGGTTTGGTGCGGAGGCAGCGGGACAGTCTTCCCGAAGTCGATCATCCACACCCGGGCTTGTCCTGAAGCGTCGTGCACAAAGAGCAGCGAACTGCCCACCACCTGCAGAAAGCAGCAGTGGTCTCTTATCAACTCACAGATGTTAGTACAAGTATAATAGAGACAACAAGGGCTGCAAATATCAATGATTCTCATTTCTGAACACGCTATTGAATATTCTCAAATATTGAAATTTTCTTTAAGCATCAGAAAAGCTCACCTTCTACCTTAATAACTAAATGGAAAAAATATATTGTTCTTATTATTGTAAACAACATCAGCATCAACAAACAACAACAAAAAAATAATTATAGTTATTATTATTAATTATTTTGCTTTTTAATAAAACTTACATGAAGTACAAGGAGAAAATGAAAAAAAAAACCAAAAAACAAAAACAACATCACTATACACAATTATTTTCAAACAGAACTGCATTAAAATACCAAACCAGGGATCCTGCCCAATCTGGCAACTCTAAACAGGCTTATTAGCTATGTGATCCAGAGAAGTAGGAGTAGGAAACTTGTAGTGGCCTCAATTTTAAATACAGGGCACCAAACAATGCTAAACCATGCTTACATAAGCCTTTTCCACAATATGCCACATATACGGTTTTCATTGCACGGGCTTATTAATAATACAACACATATAATTTTTAATAACACCATTCAAAAGTTTGCAATCACTGTGCGAAAGTTTGGAATTACTTACAATACAAAATCGATTTTTGTTGCAGATTAAGTGACTAAATATGCCATTAATATTCGATAGGTTTCAAACAATTTGTAGGAATCTGTAAAAATGAAAACAAAAAAAACAAAAAAAAAAACAAAACAAAAAAACAAAACAAAACAAAAAAACTACACTATCTTTAATGCCTCTTATGTGAAACATGGTGACCAATTAGCTATTCATAGTCAATTTCATGATAAGAAATGACTATAAATAGCTAATTACAGTGTATCATTTAATAGCTACATTCTCACTACTACTTTTTGTTCCCATACATCAAAGTGTGAATAAACCATCAGTCTGGTGTCTAGTTTGTAACATTATGATGTCCACTGTAAAAGTTATTACTGAACAACAAAATTAGCGATTCCAAACTTTTGAACAGTGATTTATGTTAAATTCAACAAAAGCTTACACAGCACAGATCAGCAGAGCAGGTACTATTTGGGTGGTGGATCATTCTCAGCACTGCAGTAACACTGATGTGGTGGTGGTGTGGTGCGTGTGTTGTGCTGGTACGAGTGGATCAGTCACAGCAGGTGTCTCACTTATTATGCAACTGCCTTTAGTTCTATGCATCATTCTGGATGCTACTGAGAAAGATGATGGTTTATGTCACTCCATCTTACCTCATGTGTCCGGAAGAACTCCGAGGTCTCTAGCACGCTGCGCAGCTCCTTCAGCCTCTGTAGATAGCTCCTCTGCCACAGGAGAACAGGGCGTGTTAGCTTAACTGAACCTTCTACTACATTTAAACTTTAAGTGCTGCAATTCTAGACAATGATTAAACCTGAAATCATGCTGGATTTTCCAATCAGTCATTTAGGCTTAACTGTGTCTGGAATATCCGTCCATACAGTGTTGTTCAGTTATAAATGCTCACTTATTCGCTTCGTGATTTTTATGAGAAACATACTGTGAAATGTTTCACCGTCTCAGCACAGCAAACCTACCAGTATCTGTGTGTTCCCATCCACAAAGTCCTCCAAGGCCTTCATAACCTGTTCTCTGTGCTTCGTCTTTTTAAAGTTGGTGTTGCATGTGCCGTCTGCTTTCTACACAAGACAGGAAAATAAGAGAGAGGAGAGAGGAGAGAGAGAGAGAGAGAGAGAGAGAGAGAGAGAGAGAGAGAGAGAGAGAGAGAGAGAGAGAGGAGAGAGGAGAGAGGGAAAGAGAGAGAGAGAGAGAGAGAGAGAGAGAGAGAGAGAGAGAGAGAGAGAGAGAGAGAGAGAGAGAGAGAGAGAGAGAAAGAGAGAGAGGAGAGAGAGAAGAGAGAGGAGAGAGAGGAGAGAGAGGAGAGAGGGGAAGAGAGAGAGAGAGTAGAGAGAGTAGAGAGAGAGAGAGAGAGAGAGAGAGAGAGAGAGAGAGAGAGAGAGAGAGAGAGTGAGAGGGAGATAAGAATCAGGTTAGACGAGTAATACATACAGAGTCTTTCGGAAAAAATGATGTCACAGACCACAGGCGCAGTTTGACGGTCAGCAGCGGTTATGGCTATTTATATATGTCGCACACATTTGCAAATTCATCATCCTCCATTGACTCTCGTGCTGAGATAGTATTTGACAGTATTTGCATCTCTCTTTATAGAGAGAACTACATAAATACTTGCATGACGCAGGCCGAACAGCGAACTGGCCCATTAAAGGATGAAGGATAGGGGCATTGTGCGAAAACCGTACATCCCATCAAAAAGCTATACAACCATATTTTACCCGCTAACGGAACTGTGTCGATAACAGGACGAGTTAGCAGAACTCACTCGAAGATTCACTCGAAAGAGGCCCCGAATATTCTGTAATAACTCTCTCTAGGACGAAGCAATCTGAACGAAACAACATCCAATGTGCTCCTCAGTATATGGAGCTTCGAACAAGCCGGGATGCCCCTGCGTCGGAGCGATGAGGTAGGCGCCGGACAGCCGTCACAACGTTTAACCTCCGTTTGCAGCTTCCGGGTGCATACCCCCGTACCCCTTCATGTGTCTGGCAGGAAACGGAGATCACTTCCAGCATCGCATGTAATGTAATCGATTACTCATACGTCAAGGTATGTAGCGTATTTTTTTGGTTCCGATTGCTTCATCCTAACATGAGTTACAGCAGAATATTCAGGGCCTCTTTCGAGTGAATCTCCGCGTACTCCGCTACTACAAAACAGTGCTTTAATGTGAGCCCGTTGTTAAGGATGAGTTTAAGAGGCAGAGATTGTTCGGCCGGCTCTGGCGAGGCTTTTCTAGCTGATGTTCGTTAGATCCAGAAACTGAAAAATGTATTTGTATTTCTCTGACCTATTAACATGCTGGTGCATCGTCCACTGAAGAAAACACCTCATATAGAAGACCCCGAGTCCTCATCAGCATCCAATGTTGTACAGGCTACATCACTTCATTATCTATATAATTATTTCAATATATGGCAGCTTCTGTTACTAATCCGATAAAAAAGTTTTCCCTCGACTGTTTTTGAATAATAAGCATGTTGCTTGCATGTAGTAAGCCTACAGCTCTATGCTAATTTTGGCTAAAGTGTTTACAAGCTGTGGAAATGATCTGAAAAATTAATGTTTATGTAACTGAATTATTTTATTGCCAAATGACTATATAAAGCAGTGTAACATGCAACAGTAAACTCCTCTTTTGTCACTTATCAAAGATGTGGAGCGATATATGAAACTTTTATTTACCTCCTCCTTTATTTTCTTCTCCTTAGGAAGCTGTGAAACCCTGGAATCTGAGCTCAAATGTTGGTGTTTGTATAAAAATGATTTCTCATGTACCTACATGCTCTGATCCAGACTTACAGACACTAGTCACCAGTGCTATATGACTGCTACTGTATGCAAAGATAATTAATAAATAATGTCAAGGTCATTTTTTTCCTCTTTTTGTTTGCGGTTTACTGGATATCCTTTCATTAACTCTACCAGATACTACTAGTTAAAATGACTAGTGTAGCTCACACCATGCCACAGTGAACACAGAAGAAAGTGGGCATGTAATTCTACAGTAAGTCTACAATATTGCAGCTACTACTGTTAATTTGTGATCCGTTCCGTCCTTTTTGTATAGAGTACGTCATTCAGTGTCAAACCACATAACCATGTTTATTTGCAGTGACGCAACAACCCGACATGGTTTGAGTCAAGTGTGATGATTTACGAATACAGTTTGCACAACGGGCTGGAAGCTTCTGTTACTCAGAACGTGCCTTCCGCAAAAAGCCAAGAAGCAGACGTCAAATGCCAAACGTGTCTTGACTGTTTAACTACTGTGTATTTGGGTGGAGGGAGAAATTTATGTAAATTAGATTTTTCACACAACTGCCGCCGTAATGGCGACAACGTAACCCACCTTGATGCCCTCAATGCGGAAGCCCATCGTGGCTGTGGAGCTAAGCGTCTCTCTCCACTGCATGTAGCGCGGCTTCAGCACGGCCTGCTGGGCTCGTTCCTCTGGACTCGGAGCGTCAGGGTCCACCGCCACCATCTTCTCATACATATCCCTCCTCAGCTTGGGCCGCTCTCGAGCCTTCACCAGCTCCTCTTCCAAATACGTTCTGGATATTGGAAGAGATTGATTTGAGAGAGAGATTAGAAAGCCTGACATGACTACACTAAACGAGAATCCTAACAATGAAAGGGCCCATATCGTCCTCTTTTTGAAGCAACAGTTTGATATATGTAAACACCTAATGATTCACCGTTCATTCCCCAGTCCATACAACCCCTGCATGGAAAATGGAGACGCACTGATTTGGGAATTTTGAGTGTTATGTTTTGCATAACATTATGACCACCTCCTTGTTTCTATGCTCATTGTCCATTTTATCAGCTCCACTTACTATATAGGTGCACTTTGTAGTTCTACAGTTACAGACTGTAGTCCATCTGTTTCTCTGCACACTTTGTTAGCCCCCTTTTACCCTGTTCCTCAGTGGTCAGGACCCCCATGGACCCTCACAGAGCCGGTACTATTTGGGTGGAGGATCATTCTCAGCACTGCAGTAACACTGACATAGTTGTGGTGTGTTAGTGTGTGTTGTGCTGGTCTGAGTGGATCAGACACAGCAGTGCTGTGCTGAACACCTCAGTGTCACTGCTGGACTGAGAATAGTCCACCAACCAAAAATATCCGGCCAACAGCGTCCTGTGACCACTGATGAAGGACTAGAGGATGACCAACACAAACTGTGCAGCAGCAGATGAGCTATCGTCTCTGACTTTACATCTACAAGGTGGACTGACAAGGTAGGAGTGTCTAATAGAGTGGACAGTGAGTGGACACAGTATTTAAAAACTCCAGCAGCACTGCTGTGTCTGATCCACTCGTACCAGCACAACACACACTAACACACCACCACCACGTCAGTGTTACTGCAGTGCTGAGAATGACCCACCACCCAAACAGTACCTGCTCTGTGAGGGTCCATGGGGGTCCTGACTTAAATCAAATCTATGACTTTATCTCTTTTCTCAGCTTCTGCTGAGAAAGTCTCTCCTCTCACCTGCTGCCCATCTTGCAGTCCATGATGGACGGAGAGTCAAAGTCTGCCAGCAGGTCGTCCATCAGGTTGTAATCCTGGTCATCTCGCTGCACAATGCCGTAGTAGCCCGGGACAAACGGCTTCAGCGAGTCGCCCATCAGCTTCAGCAGACACTGCTGCTCACACTCGCAGAACCGCTTCAACAGCTTACCGTCCTCCCCCGCCTGGAAGCTACCTGCACAGGTACGTACACAGATTTCAATGTTTACATTAACATTTACAGCATTTAGCAGAAATAGGTTAGAGAGAAGCTCGTCCTGAACTCAGACACTGATAAACAGGTTCCCAAAAAGCCCTTTAGTGCTGACAGACGGAGGTGATCTCAGATCAGTCATCATCAGAGTCACTCAGAGGATATGAAGTAGCATTACAGTGACTAAAACAATCACACCAAACGCTCCAACTTCTGGCTAAGAGATGAGAAGTTCTGGGAAGTTCAGATCAGACACATGAGGCACAGCATGCTGAGGGGGGGGAGAGAGAGAGAGGGAGAGGGAGAGAGGGAAGCAGAAAAAGACCATACAAAAAAGGAAAAGAAAAAAAAATGGAAAATCCAAAATTATATAAAAAAAAAATAAAAATAAAAATAAAAAAAAAAGTCAAACAAAAAAAGGCAGAAAAAGAAAAAAAAATAATGACAAACAGGAAAGAAAGAAAGGAAAATGGAAAAAGGCTAAGAAAAACAGAAAAAAAAACAAAAAGAGAGAGAAATAGAAAGGCAGAAAAAGAAAAACTAAGAAAGAAAGAAAGAGAGAAAGAAGAAAGAAAGAAAGAAAAAAGAAAGAAAGAAAAGAAAAAGAAAAAAGAAAGAAAAAAAAGAAAAAGAAAGAAAAAGAAAAGAAAAAGAAAAAAGAACTAAAGAAAGGACACAAATTAAAACAAACAGTCAAACACAATGAAAGACAAAAAGATGAAGAAAAAAAAAGACAGAAAGAAGGAGAAAGGATCTGATGTGGAAGTCCCAGAGGAATGGACGCAGTGACAGAGTGGACGCAGACACAGAGTGGACGCAGTGGCCCTGTCCGTACCTGCGTGTCCGGCGAGCTGCACCCAGGGGTAGCGCTTCTTGAAGGACACGACGAAGGGCGAGAAATGAACCATGCTTTTCAACTTCCTCCACGATTTCGCCTGCAGACATGGAGAAACAGTTACACTTGAGATCAGCGAGCAGCAGCTGCTTTACCATCAGTGCCGATACAGAGAGGCAGACAATGTGGAAACCAGCCTCTCTGTCCCGCAGTGAGAGAGAACAGGGCGAGTCATATTTACCCTACTGTGAGAAGATAATCTACAGGCAGGTTTTTCTGGCCTTTGCTGTCCACACGATTGTCTGGCCTCAGTCAAGGGTGTCCAGTTCCAGTCCGGGAGGCTGGAGTTCGGCACAGATTGTCCTGCTCCTGATCCAACTCTGCAGTTAGTTACTAGATATAGATATAGTGTTGGAGCAGGACAGTCACTAAACCGTGCTGGACTAAAGACCCCCAGCAGCAGAGCTGGACACCCCCATCCTAAGACCAGAGCGTTGTTGTTTGGCTCATTTTTAATTTGTCTACTCTATTTATAATTAGTAGCAGCCTAGAACAGGACATCATTTTATGTCCTTTAGGAGGACAGAGGGTTTATTTTCTTGTAATTTTTGAAAATTATTTGAGAATAAAAAGAAGTAGCTGGCATTAATATAAACACAACTGTGTTGCAAATTAAAAACTGACCATCAAAACAAAAACACCCACAACAACAGGTTACAAATTACACCAAGTTATAAGATAATATAGAAAGATAATATAATTTCTATTGGTCCATTTATCATAAAGTTACACACAATGTAGAGGTCAGCTGGTGATTTCACATGATGTAAAAAAGACAAAAATGGAGATAAAATAAATTATGTAAAATTAAATTATAAAACATAAACTAAAAAACAAACACATACAAGCTGAATAGTGAGTCCGATTGAGGTGTGAGGACTTTACAACTACAAGGTGGACCAACAAGGTAGGAGTGTCTAATAGAGTGGACAGTGAGTGGACACAGTGTTTAAAAACTCCAGCAGCACTGCTGTGTCTGATCCACTCGTACCAGCACAACACACACTAACACACCACCACCGCGTCAGTGTTACTGCATTGCTGAGAATGACCCACCACCCAAATAGTACTTGCTCTGTGGGGGTCCGATGAACTACATTTGGGGCATATTTGATTTTTTGCTGAATTGTCACTTTAAGCACTCTCTGACACTTGACCCCTCCACCGTATGCAGCCCGTACTGTAACACACACTGTAATCACTGTCCGTCTGATCAAACATTGACTAGCCAGCCTGGGTTTCTGTACACAGCTCAGCCCCCGAGGGCTCTTTTCCCAGGACTGGCCACAAAAGGACCTGTGCTCATGCTCGGCGGAGGAAGACTTTATCGGCGAGGCGAGGTCACAGAGAAAAAGGCGTGACGCAGTTAGACCTCTGAGGTATTGATTACAGGCAAATGATTAATTGGGGCAGGGATCATGTGTGGGAAATGACAAGCGAGGCTTGTGTGCGAGTGTTTGTGAGACGTAAGGCTTAAAGAGGTAAACGAACGCTCTGTCCCCGTTCAGGTTTTAAGTGGCACTGCTCACTACAAGAGCGCCGATCGAATTCAAGTCGGCTTTATTGGGCCATGTAGGTCACTTGGATTACAGCAAAAGACAACAAGGGTCAAATACAAGTCAGCATCGATTCAAGCTCTTAACCAGATTACAGGCCTTCCCGTCGTTTCACTGACAGACACCTTTCATGTGGTTTGTGTACAGTGAAACACGCAAACAGTGACGGTTCAAAACGGCTTAACAGCAGCACGTGAAGTTGGCCAGGGACATTTTCTCACGCTGTTGGTAACACAGATCACAATTAGTCCTTTTTTATGCATTAGGCAATTTTCCTCCACACACACACGATATTTAACTGTGATCTGCTGTCAGACCGAAACGTCGTAACGCTGAAATGGTAACTTTACAGGAGAAGGAAAAAACATACTTTACTTTTAATGCAAGCCAATGGAACCAGACTTAGTGCAAGTAAGTTTGAGCCATTTCTTTTGGTCCATTTATCTTGAATTTTACACACAATGTAAAGTACAGAAGTCAGATTATGCCAAAAACTGAAAACGACAAAAATGGAGATTCAAGCTTTTGGTTCGACAGCAGCAATACATACATTTTATATAAATATATATATATATATATATATATATATATATATATATATATATATATATATATATATATACACAAATAAATTACATACACACAGTGATTTAAAAAGGTTCATCCGATTTCAATGTGCCATATTTTTTTTTTACAACCGTAAGGCATCTAGGAACCAATCACAATCCAATTGAAAGAGGGGGTCATAGAGTTTCTGACTATCACCGGAAGACGGCTCCCTTCAGTCTGTGAGGAGATGAGACCCCTGAGCAGAAAGCGTTCTGCGTTCTCCACTTCAATAAGAGTGAATCCGTCATAACTGTGCAGCGTGATTTTCATGGGCTGTGAAGCTCCAACAGCTCAGAGTGTTTGGCGTTGGTTCCACAACACTGGATGATCTCCAAAATCGCACTGAAAGAGCCGTGAGTGCAGCGACACTCGACATGCTCAGTCGAGTATGGGATGAGTTTGACTATGGTGTTGATGTTGTCTGTACAGCTGGAGGAGGTTCATACTGAGACCTTGTACAATTACATAATAAACTTTATGCTCATTTAAACCATTTACAGTTTACTGCATTGTTCTGTAATTCTAAGATGCCCAAAGATGCCCAAACGTTCTGTCTTGGGGGCAAGGCAATGTTGCGGTGAGCCACAGGCCAAAAATAGAGGAGGAAAAAAAAATTGTTACTTAAATATTAAATATACATACATACATACATATGTGTGTGTATATATGTGAATGCTGTAATCTAGAGAAACATACAGCGTCAGAACTGTTCACAGTGGCTTTAGGTACCAGAAGTCTAAAGTGCTTATCACCTCTAAAAGCCCCCCTGATGTCTGAGGCACTGTTTTACTGTTGTGAAATAAGATTTTGGTCTAAAAAAAATGTAATACATGGTGGAAAGGAACAGACAAGGGCGTTAAATGGAAAATAGTCCCCAAAGAAACATTTTTACCACTAATTTTACTAGTTTCAGTTTTGCTACTCAATTTCAAACCAAACCACCCTGAATGAACTTGCTTACACCTCAATAACTGAACAATGCAATTTGATAAAATCTGTGAAAGTCCCCTTGAACTTGTGACGAGCAGCGAAAAAGGGTAAAAACAAATAAAAATACACACACATACATTCTGTTCCTACACACACTTGCAGCGTCTCCCACATACTGTATCTGCACATGTTAAAACCACACGCACATAACGTACACCTACACGTGACTATAGTGCGTAAAGCTTAGCACAAACGCAAACCTCCGCTCACACACACACACCTACATGCACACGCACACGCACACGCACTGAACTTTTCCACACTGTCTGGCTTTTCCTTGTTACAGAAGCCACGTGTGGTTGGTCTACTGTAGCAATCTCAATAAACGCTTATATAAGAATGGCAATGAGCCATTACCGAACCACATTTACAGGAAAAAGGAAAATAAATTTGATTATTTCTGAATAACAGTGGTAATTATAGCCTCTTAGGACTGCAACAATCACTGAGTACTACTAAAAATGATTAGCTGTTGAAATGATGAATCACATTTGCATCAAAAAGGAGAAGTAAATGGCATCAATTCTAAGTAAATGCCTAAACCACAGCCTGAAATGACTAATTTACAAATACACACACACAAAATAGTTACTGTAACTAGTCCTGATCTTGACTGCTAAAAGAAAGCTTGTTAATGGCTATTGACTGATATACTGACATAACCAAAGCACATTCACAGCAAAAAGGCCGACTAAACAAAAATTCTTCTATATACATTCATCATGAAATTCGCACACTATACAAGACAGCTACTCTCTAATGATATACACTCCTGGGCAAAACAAATGAGCCAAGCCCAAAATACAGGGTGATTCAAAAAGATTCATCGCCATATTTTTACAAACGTGAGGTGCCTAGGAACCAATCACAATCCAATTGAAAGAGGGGGTCATAGAGTTTCTGACTGTCAGTATAGCAGTGAACCTTCTATATTAATGCACTGAACGCAGCGGACAATTACAACAAAACAATAAACAAAAGCAGAAGCCAGTAGGACTGTTCATTATAGGACGTTTACCTCGTCTCTCCAGATCAGTTGCTCTGCACGAAGAAATGAATCCAACTTCTCCTTTTCTCCCTCGCTGCCTTATCTAACCTTCCACTTCCAATCTACCACATCTTAATCTAATTAGTCCTCCGTCTCCTGCGTTCATCCCCGTCCTCTAGTCCTTCACCCCACAGCGCGTCTAATCCCATCCAGCTCAGCCCCATTCACCCACGCCTCCTCATCTTTCACTCCCTTTCTCCGCACACAGTTGTAATTCTGTCTCTCTCTCTCACTCTGTTCTCCGATTCTAGCCTCCAGGACAGTGGGGGTCAGGGGTCACATGATCTCTCTCTCTCTCTCGCTCTTTATTAAGTTCTTGTGATATACAGCAGGGGTGTAACTACAGGGGGGGGGCCTGGGGGGCCTAGACACTCTCACTTAGAAGCCAAAACTGCTCAAAAGAAAAATTCCAATAAAGACGTTACAAACTGTACTTCATCTTGTGCTATTATAAGTCAGGATGAAGCCAAAAGCTCTGAGCTCCTCGTTTTTTCCTCCTTAGGTAAATAAAAGTGACACCAAATCTTTTATCATTACAGCAACTTTTACACAACTGCAGGTCGCCATCAATAACATTGCAGTTTTAACCAATTCTGGAACAAGGATGCACAGGATAACGGCTACCTGTAAACCGCAGCACCACTACTTGACCGTTTCTCCCGTCCTAGCGGTGGCTACTACTTACCTAGTTCAGTAGAAGTTCAATACTGTGGAAAATCACAACCAACCAACCTTTCACCCCAGACATCTACTCCTAGAGCGGTAAAAGCCAAGCCTCTGGTTATTTAGCCAACACTTGCTGTGGTATGCAGTCAAATGTAGTAACCAGGCAGTTAA